GATACGAAATTTCTAAAACAAATTTGTGACTACCAAATATGCATAGTATTCATTATGTTATGAACATTATATGTAAAACAAAAAAAAAAATTTAAATGAAAAATATTTAATTAAAGACTTTAATAAATCAAATATTTAATAAGTGGAAACTAATCTACCAGTTTTTAATGTTTTCTAATCTCATTAAAAAGATCAGTTAACTAAATTAATAGTTTGTAAAATAGCACATTCTCATTTAAAAATTTATGTGAACAAAAATACTTTTACGAGACAAGAGGCGAAAAATATCTTAAAATTTGTATTTTTTAAAATTTCGAAGGACAATAGCTCAGAAGAATCAATAGATTAAAAAAAAAAAAATTATTAATTTCATCGAATTTCATCGAGTTGCAGTTTAAGACACAAATTGTAAACCTATTAAAACCAGTTTAATATAAAGTATAATATGAATTTTTAATTTATATTGTTAATAGTAAGATTGCACAAGTTGTTAATTTTCAAAATTCCTGTAATTGCTCAATTCTCCTGCATTAGTAACGAAAAAACATAAGTAAAACACTGCTCTCAATGGAACAGATTTTTAAGCCCTCGCAATTCCTTTCTTCAAAGTTCGATTCAAAAGTCTTACTCCCATAAAAATATTTATGTAACCGCTACTCCACATAACACATTTTTCAATTAAATTTTAAATTTTTTGTATTTCCTAACAAAATTTTGCAATAGTTGAATACTAAATGCTACAATTCTAAATATGTCAATATTTTATAACGATTGTCCTTTTTGCTATAATTTTATAGGAAATGTTATTACAAATAAATAATTGTTTTCTGATTAAAAATACATGATAAACAAACCTTAAAATGAAATTTTAAATAAAAAAAAAAATTTATCTGATCATCAACTATTTTATCATAAAATAAAACAATTTTTTTTATTTTCTTGCTCGCATAAATTTTACATTTAATTTGAATTTTCAAAACGATTTAGTTTTATTTTTCAATTTAATTTTTAAAAGAATATAAAAAAAATTGCTAATAAAGTTTCTTCATAGTAGAGCTTTTTTTTAATTTTTCCTCTTCAGCTTCTTCTAGAATTTGCTTTTAAGTATTGAATTTGATTATTTCAAAAATATCGATTTATTTTTTTTTTTGGATTTCATGAAAAGCCATCTGCAAGTCAATAAAATTTGATATTCTAATCATTTTTTTATATTTGCCTCTTAAACAATTCGCGCTTTTTATCTGTTAAATATTTCACAACTTCTATATGTATATGTATGTATTATGGAGCAAGATATAATTTTTGTTTTTATTATTTAATATGGAAAACAAAGTCATAAAATGTTTGTACTTACACTGTTTGTTGTTGTATATGGAAATTTAAGTATAGAATTTAAAAATATGATCGATTATTGCTTCCATTATTTACAGGTAACTACCAGTAAATCAAGTAAAATAAAAATAAAAATGTTCTGAAATATGTTGTACTGATTAACAGAGAGAAGGCACTAAGTAGTTTCTTATATGAATATTGGCTTTTTATTTAAAATTAAAGTTTATTTAAGCAAATATTTTACACTTAAAATTCTATACCTTAATTTTCTTTCCAAGTGAATTCACTAAACATAAAATTTTTTTCATGTGTCCTTTCTATCTATATTTTTACTATTAGATTTAAAATATCCGAAATTATTCAATATTAATATGAAGAAACAAAAGGCACTTCGAATGTTGTCAATTATTATTCAGTTCATGATTTAATAAATCAAGATATTTTTCGATTCTTCAGATATTTACCAAAAAGTTATGTTTACATCTTGTAAAACCATTTCAATTATTTTATTTGAATTTATCATAAAACTCTTATGAGATCAAGATAAAAAATATTTTAATAGAGGCATTCTTGGAATTAAATGCATTTAAAAACAAAAAAATAAATGAGAAATTCTTAAAATTTTTTTATCATTAAAAAACATAAAAAAAAAGAAACTTATCCAAAAAGAAAATTTTTCTAACAAATTGTGTGTTTAAAATTTTAATTGAATTTTAAAGAAAACTAATAATATATTGCTTCTTCTACAATATTTATTTAATTTACCTGTATTGACCACCAACAAAACAAGGAAATTGAAAATTATTTTTCTTAAATTTGACACCTTTTGAATTTTAATGGTGCACATAGTAAAATTTATTAAGAAAAAGAAAAAAAATATGATGTTATTGAAATTAAATTCTCATCATGACATTTCTGAACTTTTTACAACCTCATCATCACTATATAATCGCGCCCCTCTTCTGTCTTCTCTCATTTTATAGAATCATATTGTAAGAGTGTAATATAAAATACACTCACAACAACGATAATACTGCATTTACAAATCATTCAATTCATTCATGTTTTAATTCAAGCATTTTTCGTTTACTAGTTCCACTACAACAGGTTTCATTCTACTTTTTACTTTCTTATTTACTCAAAAGTTTATCTGTATGTACTACTATGTTTCTTCTTACCATTATCATTCCATTCATAATAATTGGAGACGCGGTAAAAACAATTAAAGTCATAGAAAAAAAAAATACAAGATCTAACGATGCATTTTATTACATACACAAATTTGTTTGGTTAAATGGGACTTAAAACGCCAAATGGTGGGTAATAATATAAAATTGTTATTATAGTTATTGTAAAGAATAAAGATTATTTTTCTCAATGAATGAGAAACCAAAAACATTTTGCTTATAGATTTATAATTACATATATACATATTACAAAAAGATTTACATATATATTAATATTGAAAAATAGAAAAATAAAATGGAAAATTATATAGACGCATAAAAAATTAAAAGTTTATGCACTTATATGTAAAAGGTAAAACACGAGTTCAGATGATTTTCTTCCGTTTTCGAATATTTGCATTGTATTGAGAATAATACTTGTGGTTAGTTTTATGTGTTGAGGTGGGTCTTTTGCATTAGATCAAATCGAATTAAAAAATTCGAAAAAGAATACTTGATATGGTGATAATTAATTTTTATCACATATTATATCAAGTTATTTTACGAGTATGCTCTATAATTTTAGATTAAAACCGATAATTTTTCAAATTTTTGTAACTGAAAAACACCCTTGTTGAAAGTTGGTAAGGAAGATGAGCACTGATGGTGGTGTTAAGCAAAAGCAAATCTAACCAATTTCTTTTTGTAACTCAGTACTCAATGTAATGGAAATATGGTTTATTGTAAACTGTAGCAACGTTTGTTTGTAAAAAAGCGCAACGTTTTCTACATACTACTACATACTACAGAAAATAAATAAAAATCCGTAGTTTTAAAAAACAAAAAGACAACAGAAAAGATTGTAATTATACAAATCTTAAACATGGGTTTGAATAAAGTTTTCGAAAGCAGTATTTCCACTTTCACAAGCGAAATACTTTACAAGCTATTGGTTAGATTCAACCTTTTCAGTAAATGAATTCGGTACGCGTCTATTCTAAAAACAAATTTAATAACACGAACTAAAAATTTTTGATAAGCTTTTCAAAACCCTAAATGACGTTTCACTGGAATATCCAATGAAACGTTTAAATTTTCCAGATAATGAAAAGTATCTTAATCTAGTAATTGTAAAATTTCAAACACAAGTTCTACACCATGATAAATCACTTTATAATGTGTTCTTAGAGTTCCATACAGAGGATATCACACAATCCCACCATAACGTCGAAAAAAGATTTCAAATAATATGCGAATTCTCAAATTTTATTTGTAGCAAGCTACATTTGACGTACCCCGAAATTACTTAGTGCCTTTATCTTAACGGAAAAAACTTAAAATTATAATTTCTTATTTGTTATTTTAAATTTTCAGCATTTTAATTTGACAATTAGATAGTAATTAAAACATTTATTGAGCATTGTCAAAGACACAAACCAACAATATTAATATGACCTAAAAATTCAAAAACAAAAACTTCATAAAGATTCTACATAAAGCATAACAAAATGACCATCATTTTAAATTATGTTACTTAAATTCAGTGCAAGTGAAATCACTGGGAAAACAAAAACATTCAAAAATATTTTTGACATCAGTCCCCCTTTATTTTTTTTCATTTAGCAACCCTCTCTTACGTTCTTTTGGGTAAATATGTACATATATCTGAAATCGTAAGCTCATTCTATGCTCGTTTCTTTTCAAATTTTATTGTTTTCTTTTCTTTCTGTAAATTCTGTAAACTTTAGCGCTTGTGGTCTATTTCAACTAAATATTTTTCTAAATCAAAATTAAGTTTACATTATGTACATGCATACATGTATACTTTACGCATATTACGAGTATGTACAATATTCATATAATAATAATGGTTTTAATCTAGTGTGTATAAAGTCTAATCCAAATGTGCATAATTACTTAACGCTTATCAAAATGTCAATTCAAATATTGACAAAATTATACATATAAATACATTTCTATATACTTATACATAGCAGATTTAAATATGTACATATATGTATTCAATTACCCACAAGTAGATGTTAGTTGTTATTACTAATATAATGAATAAATTATCAAAAAAAAAAGAAAAAGAAATGATAAAATTTTATGTACTCGTATGTGTTTGTTTGATGATCATTTTGTTATCTGTGAAAAAATTCTCAAATCGCTGCCATATACTTACATATAAACAGAATATGTAAAACTAGCCAATTTAAATGAATTAGTTGACTGTTTCGAGATTTTAATAAAAAACAGAAAGGAAAAAAAACACATTTTTGGAAAAGGAAATAAAAATTTTATGAACCGTTTCAAATTGCAAATGAGGTGCAAAAATCAGAAAAAAAATTTAATAAGAATTAGATCAACAATTTCTATTCTGTATTTTTATTCTGAATCTTGCCATTTAGCTTAAATTCTTTTAAATCTCATTTTACGTCAATGATATCATATCTCTTAAAAAAATGTTATGAACATGATAAAAGAAAAAAGTTATGCCCATTACTTAATCTCTGTTTGACAGTCTGCAAATATTAATTTATAGAGAAATGGGTTTTTCTAGAAAACCGATTTGTAAACTTTTTAAAATTTACACCTACCACCCTTTCATAAAAGCTATGGTCTTCTGTAAATGTCATAAACCCAAAAAAAATTCTGCAAAACAGCATAGGCAAACACTACAATGGCAATTTTTAAAATAATCTAAACTTCAAATTTGGCAGTATAAATTATAGTAAAAAAAGATTTTCAAGTGAAAACGTTGGATACAGGAACGGAACGGATTCGATAATAGTTGGAACGTTGGAACAAAAACGTTAGAAAGGGAATATTCGAAAAATGTTTTCTTTTAGGATTTTAATTTATTGCCTACCCATATATCATTGATTTAATTCAATGCGTTTTCAGTATAAACATCTTTTTAACATCATTGAAATTATTGCTTTATTGTAACACAATAAGTTTGTTAAACGGGGCTCGTTTAAAGTTCGAATAATCATATAAACTCCTTTTTGTTCTGATATGCAAGCATGTGTGTGGGTGTATGCAATTTAAATTTATTTGAAATAAATACACTATAATTGTTTTGGTATTTTAAAATACAGTTTTGCAAAATACAGATAGTATTTGACATATATACAGGGTGATTGAGTAATCAGTGTCTCAACATATGTATACCATCGTTTAGAGTATTACACGATGATATAATTGTTAAGTCACTGATTACTGAATCACTCTGTAATATGTACAGTACATATGTTAATAAATTTATTAAAAAAATATATTTAATTTATTTGTATGTAGCTCTAACATTTGAGAATACAAAAACATTTAATTATTGAATTTGAGAAAAAAAAGAAACATGTGCGTTTTTGTGCCTTAGATTTTTCACATTTTTTTACCAATTAAGAAAATTTAAACATATATGGAAATTTTCATAAAACACAATACTACAAAACAATAATGTGATACATTCGCAATATATTTTTGACAATTATTGTATAAAAACTTTTGCTATTTTGAATTTGCAGTATTGTGTTCATAAACAAAAAACTGTCGTTAACAAAAAAAATATTATTTATTTTGGGCCAAATAGTGGAAAATTCTATTTTAGGAAAAATAAAAATTAAGAAAAACAAAGAAGAAAATTGAAGCAAGAAGAAATTTTGTTATTATTTAAATACAAACAATTAACAATTAAAAATGTAAAACCGAACTACAAAAACTAATAAAAAAAAGTATAGTTGATTTAACTGCGCTAGCCATGATAGTGTAAATAATTTTGTGATAGATTAGCAATGTTTATGCTCAAACTTGATTAGCAGCATTTGTACATGAACACAAAGATAGCGCAATTCTCGCCATATATCGCGAATACTACGTTTATAGGCAGGACTTATATTTTGGAATTTCAAGAGAATACGTATACATACATATAACATTTATGTATGTATACGTATGAAGTTCCATGAAGTTCCTAATGAAATACAATTTCATTTTATAGATTAGAAAAAATTTTGACGTCTATCAATTTTATTACAAAGTTGCTATAAATGAAGTGTTGCCTTTAAACGTTGAACTAATTTAAGAAGGGGCTTTTCATTTTCATTTCAAAAATATTTTGTGACTTTATAGATTTTGTAATTATCAAATAAGTATCACACATATGTACATAATATGCGTGTATTCTTAATTAAAAAGAAAAATCTATATATTTAGGACGAAAATTTATGGATAAAAAATGGAAAAAAAATATATATTTGTTGGATTGAATACATACATATATGATATAAAAATAAAAAAAAAAAAGACAAAATTACTTACCCAGGGAAGTCTCCTGATCTGACATGTCAGACAGACTTGGTACTTTTTGTATATTTCTTGATCCATCATCGGGTTCTTCTTTAATGAATACATTTGGATATTCATTTGTAGACTAAAATGATAAAGCAAAATTTTTTTCCTATTATTAATTTTATTTTTTACAAATTTTTCTAATATTAATTTAAAAATTTATTACGTAAGCAATTAACATATTAATTTGAAAGTTGTGTTCGAATATGAAAAAAAAATTTGTTGTTTAGTATAATGAAAATGAAAACATCGGTTTCCTTTCCTCAATTGGCGTATATTTTGCAATGCGGGATTTTATGTGTGAACGTTATATTTAAATAGTTTTTCTTTATTGTAAATGTATGTACATAATAATCAAAAACTCTTGCAGCTTAAGGAACAATTTTAAATGAAGTTCTTTATTTTAGACAACTATTCTTTTCTTCAGAAAGTGCAATTGCTATAGTTTTACAAAATATCACATTAGTTTGGGGAATTGTTACAAATTCTTAAATAAAAACAAACCTTACAAATAGAAAATTATGACAATTTATCTGCATAATGGGTAAGCAATATTCATAAAAGAATATAAATAGAATAAATATGTAATATATATATTACGACATATGGGTAGATAATGAAATCTGATGCCGATTATACTATCGTTTTTTCCAAATTTAGTTTAGCAACGAGAAAAAATAGAGTTGACCGTATCAAGTCTATGATACCCGTATAGTGAATTTGTTATCCTATATGCAAATAAATATGTCATAGCTGATTATCTGACAGTCTATAACTTTAAGTTGTCGTACTGCCATATTAATTTACGCACAATTTTAGTACCGTATTTTCAATATTTTCTAAGATATGGCCAAACTGCAATTGAAGTTATATGGCTGCTACCAGAAAAAGCCAAGCAATTTCAACGAGTTTTATTAAACACATTTTCCCTACTAATATATTACCTTGTGTGAAATTTCAAAAACACAGCTCTTATAGTTTCTGAGATATAGGTAAATAAATTTTGAAGTTGCATGGCAGCTACCCGAACCAGTACACCGATGATATCCAATTTAAACAGGGTTCTGGCATTTACTATAATAAATAATTTGTGAAAATTTTATGAACTTAGCTCAATTAGTTTTTGAGTTCTCGCTGGGACTGACGGACGGACGGGCAGACAAAGCTAAATCGACTCAGAATTCGATGCTGATCAAAAACATACACTTGAGTCTATATCTCGCACCATTATTTCTTAGCGTTACAAACAGTAAAGTTCCCTTCGTGTACCCTTCGAACATACGTTCGTACGGGTATAACAATGAGTATATTACAAAAGAAATCAAAAAAACATAAGCTTGGATTAAGCTCATAAGTATTTATAAATTTCCTACCAGATTTAAAGCTTAACTGAAAGATTATAAGGTAAAGAAAGATTATAAGAGTAGGCCAACCAACTTATACAAATGTTACTAAATTTATCTGTTTAATATACAAGTTCTAAGTGCTAACACGTTTATGATTGAGTAAAAAAGATAGCAAAGACGTAACAAAATTACATGTGGCAAAATTAAAGATAAATTTCAAACATCTAGGGAAAACAATCCTGTTGTTGTTATTGAAATAAATATTCAACTTATTCTTTGACCCCAGCTCAATAGAAATCGAACTAATGAGGCTATTGAACAAAAATCGTACGCGCCATACAAACTACTTATGATAATGTTACGCTTAGTTAATAAAGTATTTTTTATATTTAGCAAATTAAATAATAGATAAAAGGGATTGTAAATAAAATTTAATTAGGCGGTTTCATCCCTTACAGTTTACCTTTTTAAAATTATATAAAGGCCTAATATTAATAGTATTATAAATTTAATTTTTTTTTATTTTAAAAAAAAATTAGGAATTATTTTCTCCCGGCGTAATAAACGTGTATTTCTGATCGTAACTTAAACAAATGTATATAATTATGTGCCTAAATTTTTGTCCAACATGAAATCTGTAGCTGACTTTGTAAGGCTTTCTGCTGTTGCCCCATTCAACCCTGCGTTCTGGTGAACATAATAAATGTCAGAACACAATGTTGCAGTTGCACTTCTGATAGATGGAGTTTTAAAAATACTTATTCACTATTATAATTATATTACTTAAATTTATCGTAAGCTATATTGAAAAATAAGTAGTAATCAAAATAAAATTCCGTTCCTCTATCTCTATCCGTTGTCGTTCTGTATTTAACATTTACTTCTACTTTTTTGTTGGTATTACAGTCAAAATATTCAACCTAAATCTTTCCTTCCCTCAATTTATACAATTCCAGTGATGAGAAAATGAACATTTCACTTATGATATATACTTTGTAGCTTTAAAACAATAACAAAAATCAGCAGCGACACCGGAAATCATGAAAAAAAACAAACAAAAAAAAAAGTAAAAAACAGAAATATTTAAATGTGGAGTATACGATCGTTTTATTTTTTTTTCTCTTCTTAATTTCAATTCCAAAATTATATAAGTATTGAAGTGTTCCATAATATACAAAAAATTTTATAAGAAAAAAATCTGATGTGGTCAGCATATAACCGAGGGCAATGAGTAATTCCTAGTTTAGTGAAATTGTTACAGAAGATTATGGAAATGCGTTTTAAACACTTCTTTACAAATTTTTTCGGACACTTAGTAAGCTTTTAGTTAACATATCTAGAAAAGTGTAAATTTGGCTCTTAGTAGAGTTTCGCTTTGCGCCACCCGAAAATTTCCATGAAAATCTAATCTTTCTAAAATACAATCATTGTTTTAACATTCCGAATTTAAATATTAAATTTCATAATTATATGTATATGCAAAAATGTAAAATTGGCGACGACAAAGGACCAGTTCACACAACTTGATCATCCGTGCTACAGACACAATAAACTTACATATAAGATTTCATTAAAATCGATTCAGCCAAACTTGAGACACACTATTGCACACACACACCGACATCTCTCTAGAAGTAATTTATTTACGCTTCCCACTATGGAGAATTGCGTTTCCACCGAAAACGCACTTGATAACAAAACAAACTTGAAACAAAATGTGATGCCATCCTAGAACCTACCTCAGCGGTAGGAAAGGAAAAAATGTTGATACATATTGTATATTCCATTCCATAATATATACAAAAACTTATTTAAGAAAAGAACGGAAAAATTTTTGACACACATTTTGTAAATGCACATATGTGAGTTTGTAGAAATTTGAATAGGATATTTATTTTATAAAAACTTCAGGAAATTAATAATGAAAATAGAAAAAGACCACAAGACAAAGAATAAACACCAAAAGATTTCGCACTCCTGAATATCAAAAAATTTTTACACATATACCTATGTATATGTAGAGTGAGTTCCCATAAGTATAGACCACTATACCTGCGTGGACAATTATTACACTGTATACGACACATCAGTTGTATAGTTGCAGAAAGTATTTTTTATTTCTGAAAACGCATTCAACTCTATATACTTTTTAAAATCGCAATCAATTTTGAACATTAAAGATTTATATTAAGTGCACCATATATTCCATTAGTTAGAGTTCTTTTATATGTGAAAAAAACATATTTTGTCCCGACCAGGTTTTAAAATTACAATAGAATTATATTCGAAAAAATGTATGGTGTGCCTTGTATCTGTGAACCTATATTTTACATGTTTTTTTTTTTGAAAATAGAAAATTTAAAATGCAGGCTCTTGTGATTCCGTACATATTACTTACCATTCTTAATACACTAATTAAGATTAAACATAAATTATAAAAAAATCTTACTTGCGAAAAATAATAAGCCCATAAATAAAACACATTGAGCGCACATGCATGTGCCAATTAAAAATTTAATAATTTTTTAACTTTATCTTTTTCATTTTGAACCAATGCGAAGGAAATTAAATTATTAAACTGACTGTATTGACAAAAATTTTAAATGTTTGCTTCCGATAAGAGTTATTATTAAACGATGAAAATGAGATTTTTTTGTTCACAGGTAGGAGAAATCACTCTACATATGGTTATAATATTTCATTAGTGTTGTCGTTTTATGATATCGTTTAGCGTCGAAGAAGATATTAAAATTGCAGTAGATTCGCTTGTACCGCGCAGATTCTTTTTGTTATATGTATTGATTTATGAAAGGTTAATAAAAATTAAAGGAATTTTTTTTTTTAATATTTATTTTAATTCATCTTTAAATGCACCAAAATGTGAATTGCATGAAATAAAACTGTAGATAGGTATTAACAAAATTAGGTGACTTAATATCACTGCACCACTACATACAGTTTTTTTTTGACAAGTTAATATAACCAAATTCATTTTTATGGCGAAAGTTAAACAAATGAGCAAAAAAATGTTTTTTTTTTAAATATAAAAATTGCAGAAAATGGAAGCAAATTTCATTGTTACAATAATATTAAATTCCAGTAGAAATATGCAGTGTCAGCAAAAACGGCAGCACTAAATTAGATATATGCTTTTGCATTAAATATCAATTTTGGTAATTGATAATCTCTTATTTTTGCATAATTCTCTTGTTCCTTCTTTTTTGCAATATTGTGGCTAATGATAATTAACAAACCGTGATTCCCATCATCAACCACCTTTATTAATTTAATGTTATAATTTTTTGTTTATGTCACGTAAAGGTTTCATTAAAAGTAGTATTAAATTTATATATACATATATAAGTGAATATTCTTTCTCATAGCTCATAAATAAATTGTTAATACTTTTGAAACGTTCAAAAAATTGATTTTAACTTTTTTTTTATTCAAGCTATTCCATATTTGAAAATTATGTATAACTCGATAATGAAAACTTGATATGTGGAGTTTGATAATAAAACAACCTCCTTATTGTATGCAATCCGGTAATTTAAAAAGCTTATACTCGATCGAATCTTAAATATTAAAAATTAAATCAAATATTAAAAACTGTATACATATATTCTTAGGTAAACTCAACTATATACTGCAATGACCCCTATAACTGCTTTGTTTTTCTAAAAGAAAATAAATAAGACATTTATGATAATCAAAATCAAAATAATTGCATACTGTA